TGTTTCTAACATTCTTTGCAGGTTTCAATCATGTCAAGCGGTGATGACAGAAAACACCAAGTGGATTATTCCTTCATGCTCAAAGCTATGCAACAACAATTTCAGAGGCTAGACATCATGTTTGGTGAAATTAAAGACAAAATGGAGAAGAAAGATGCAGCCACTGCCAAGTTATACCAAATACAGAATGGAAGTCCAAATTTGCATAATCACGATCTTGATGACAATGATGAAGACGCATTCAACGATGATGCCCAGAACTCAAATTTTAGCATGGACAGATTTATGAGAAGTAGAAGGGGTCAAAAATATAGATTTAACAAAGGAGACCAAAATCTGGCAAGGTGGGGAGATCGGCAAGATCATGACTTAGGCAGCATCAAGCTGAAGATTCCTCCATTCCAAGGAAAAAATGATCCAGATGTGTATTTGGAGTGGGAAAAGAAGGTGGAATATACTGTTGATGGAGAACTACTTGTCACTAGGCAAGCTTTGAATGTGCAAGCGAAAGAAGATGATGAAGTACAACGTGACAATATATTTCACACGAGGTGCCATGTCAAAAACAAGGTATGTAGTGTGGTTATTGATGGTGGTAGTTGTACTAATGTAGCTAGCACTGTTTTGGTTGAAAAGCTAAATTTATCGATGATGAAGCATCCAAGGCCATATAAGTTGCAATGGTTAAATGATTGTGGAGAAATTAAGGTAAATAAGCAAGTTCTGGTTTCATTCTCTATCGGACGATATAAGGATGAGGTACTGTGCGATGTCATTCCCATGCATGCGGGACATTTACTTTTGGGGAGACCATGGCAATATGATAGGAGAGTAACACATGATGGCTTCAAAAATCGCTATTCGTTCATCATGGAAAGGAAAACAATTACTCTTGCACCATTGAGTCCAAGGCAGGTTTATGAGGATCAACTGAGAGTAAAAAAAGAGAGTGAGCTGAGAAATGGGAGTGAGCTTGAGGGTACGAAAAACAAAGAGAAAACAGCAGAAAAAGAGTCCAAAAAGAGAGAAAAGATTGAGAGTGTTGAAAACAAAGAGAGAAAATCAGTGAGTGTTTATGCAAAAGAAAGTGATGTCAAGGCTGCGTTCTTTGCGAACCAGCCTATGTTTGTGCTTCTGTATAAAGATGCTTATTTCAACACTAACGAACTTAATGATTCTTTGCCTAGTGTTGTTAAATCTCTTTTGCAGGACTTCAAGGATGTGTTTCCAGATGATGTTCCTAATGGTTTACCACCAGTAAGAGGAATCAAGCATCAAATTGACTTCATTCTTGGTGCAACAATTCCAAACCGACCAGCATATCGAAGCAATCCCAATGAGACAAAAGAACTTCAAAGGCAGGTCGAAGAACTCATGAAAAAGGGACATGTGAGAGAAAGCATGAGTCTATGTGCAGTACCAGTGCTACCTGTGCCTAAGAAGGATGGGACTTGGCGTATGTGTGTTGATTGTCGCA